GTGCATCTCATGACTGAGGCCGATACGATACGCATCTCGATGCATAGCCAATGATACGATACATTAAAGATACATATGAAGCAGCTACCAATGCGATGCGATACACCCCTATTATGATGCAGTGCGATCCGATTTCGATTCGATTCGATGCAATACGATGCAATGGAAAAAATATGATCACTTTTAATGCCTCAAGGCCTGTTTCATAAAACAAGTTTATCAAATAATCCAGGCTTATTTCAGTTAGTCTGACTCATTGTCAAATGATTTGGTTCCATAAAGCAAATTTAACATAGATCACCTTCAGTCACTGTGGCAACTTATACTGGGAAACTATCAGACTAAGCGGAGTTCCTCTAACACTGACCAATAGGAATGCTATTATTTGAATTTTTTTTTACAGTTTCTAGCCAAGCAGAAAGGCTCTCTCTGGTTTTATGACAGCTGTAGGCTACCTTTGCAGAACAGATAGCAGAACAGAACATTACAATCAAAAATTGCTCTTTAAAGCATTAAATACAAAAATAATTCCAAACAGAACCACAGCACTGTTTTGCATCTCTAAACAACATGTCGTGTTTCGTTCATGAATGAATCGTTTAAATGATTTGGTTCAATCGCAATGATACACTTATTAACAGTGACTTGCTAAATTTCACATTTAAAGTATCTTTTCATTTTTATTATTTTTTTTTTATTTCAAATAGTAAAACATTATTTATGCATTTGTAACTGCAGGTTAAATCATTCCATGTCCCTCTGAGCTGCATTAAACAGTGTAAATACATCTAAATGCCACTTCGTTCAGATGCAGCTTCTGTGTTTCCTCTGCATTGCAAAGATAAATTTGGTTGATACTGATTTCATTTGCCTTCATTTGGTTCTAGTAATCAAGGACAACTTAAAGCTGAGTGGTGGTTCACGGTGAGCACATGCTAATGAGGCAGACAGGAAACCGTTAATCACGCTGGTCAACTTTTCTGAAGAGACTCGTGACTAGCTGCCATTTCATAACAAGATTTCAAAGCTCTTTTAACGACACAAGAGGCCACAGTCCCAGTGGCAATTAAAATCATGCCAGGACACACCATGATCTGTTGTGATATCACAGTGTGGCACAACGGCAGCAACAAATGTTGGCTGGTAAAAATCTCAGGAGACAACGGTCACTTTGGCTACCAAAGACAAGCTTGTGACTGAGACTCATCTTGTGTCTGAGAAACATCTGCAGGAGAAGAGAGGATAGCCATGTTATGTATGGCATTCTCAGACACAACAGCTGGGAAAAAAACTCACCTGCAAGTTCAAATGACATCACAAGGGAATTACAGCTCCAAAGCAGAATTTCACTGCTTAAAGTTCTCATTGAAGTCACCACACCTATCCAGATCTCTCGCTCCAAACACAGCGCAGATGATAACATTTCCCTTCACCTCAATACAAACCTCACAAATTTCAAACTGCAATAACACAGGACCGCTATAAAGAGTCCATAAACAACAGGAGACCCGCAATCATGTTAAAAAAAAGTCTCACTCTTTAGCGGACACAGACCTCACAATGAGAAATAAACATGAGCACTACCGTTCAGGCGGAGTGCAGGCAAGATGTGTGACAAGAACGATTAACTGGCTGCTTGCAGTCTAAAATCAATTTTACATGTACAAAAAAAAAAAAGCCAGTGCAATGCCAATAGATCTGCCTTAATCCTATTGCCTTAAGATGCCTTAAAATCCACATTCGCTGATTCACACTAAAATAAATACATTTCTTTCTGTACTAATGCACTCAGCCTTATGTTTGCTTATGAAAAAAAACAACAGCAGTACATTATTCTTTATCTATCTTTGTGGTTTAAGAAAAAAGACGCAGCAGACATGATGCTAAGATACTAGACGGAGAAACCTGTCCGTGTCTCCCTGAAATTGACAATTCAGTTCTCATAACCTGCTCTCTGCAGGGAGAGTTCATATTGTTTGGGGGGGGGGGGCCAAAAAAAATGACCCGTGGAGGGGGGGGGGGACGTCGGAGCCGTTCTTTATGTTGCAAAAGAAAAGGTTAAAAGACCAAAACTGGCAAATAAAGAATGGGAAAGAACTGTCTGGAAATGTTGGAAATACATGCCAACGGACTTCGTAGACATGCCCTGGATCTGAGAACTTTCCTCCTGTCTGAAACCTGAGCCGTTCAGCAAAGAAAAACAAAATACTCATCTGTGAGGCACTCAAAACCAAGAAAAAAATCCATTATTGACCGTGTTTGTTGTGGGACAAAAAAAAAGAAAGAACCTGCCAGAGTGGACGGCACTTGGGCGGACACTCTGAGCTTCAGGCCAATTTAAAGAGTAAAGAAGAAGAACTGCATTAGCACAAAAGTGATGGACACACTGACACCTAATCAAGAGCACTACCCACAAATCCCTGCAAATCACTTCAGATGGACACACACATCACTGACTGACCATATCATTGGTATCTCACACTTTGATGCACAGGTCTGCACCTCAAGGGCTAAAACATCATGAAAAATACAAATATGAGAATGCTTAAGCAAAAAAAGACAATGTCAGCATCAAGCAAAAGTTTGAAAATTCTGACCTTGGGTTGAGCGCGCCGAGGAAAGGCGACCTTAGGATCAATCTGTGCACAAACAGAGAAAGAAGAGAGAGAATGATGAGGGAAAAAAAGTCACATATGAATGCAGTTATCCAGGCCCAATTCATCACAATACACTCTTTCATACTTCAAGAAATCATCAACACCATCAAGCTTTTGAATTACGAGCATGGATGGGTCATACTGGAATGATGGCATTAACTCTTTGGCTTGTCATCTTGTTAATTTCAGTTTGTCTTCCATCTAGTGAAGGTGTGCAGACAGAAGGAATTATCAGAGAAACTATTTCATGCTCCAATGTCACACTGTCTTACCTCAGCCTTAATACAGCTTCTTATAGAGAGGAGTTTCAAACAATCTCATACAGGCAGACGAAGTAAAGATGAAAAACATAAACAGATCGAAATTGGGTTCTTGCAGGAAATTACTTGTCCATGTTCAGCAAGGCAAAGGCTTTAGATTGTAGCAAAACTCCTAGTGTAGATTTGAACGTTTGCCTGAGGGCTCTGCAGCATATAAGTGTGTATCATTACAGACACTGCCTTTCTAAATAAAATGCACACACACTGTCTGTTTCTTTCCGGATAGAATCTTAGGAGTCATTTTTTGACTTCTCTATATGTGCGTGTCGTCTATATGTTGGCCATTTTAAATATAGATATGTCAATTCAATGTGCTGTGCACAGGGTAATTATTCTCTGAAATGACACACTGGTGTCCAATGAACTAAACCTTTTTACTCCCATAATTCCGTTTGACTGAGCTGTGATTGTTATCTCCCCAAATCAGGTCAATTAGAGAGATGGATTTTGTAACACCTGGGTTTGGAAACCTTTTCTGTGATGAATTTCATGTAGCAATTTGTTTTAGCAATTAGCCTGAGGCTTAACCAATTCAACCTCAATTACTCCATAGAAACAAGCCTGTGTGAGCAGAAACAATATTACGCTTTGAATTTTAAATCAGTAGAAATTAGGAGTATTTTTCCATACAGCCTGAGAGCAAACATCCCATTCTGATGAATGCACGGATAAATTGAGAAACATTTGTGTGAATGCTGGGTCTGTAAATAAAGGCTCCAGATCAATCTGATGTAGGTTTTTGAGTTTATGCATTTGCAAATGGTCCAGTAACAGTTGACTGATTAGATCTCCAATTAAATCAATAAGCTGCATCTATGGAGTCAGGACCTAAAAGGTCATCACTAATTAGGCCTATTAGTACAAAATATTTTTACTATCACTGTTGGATATTTCCAAAGGAAAGCAAAACCACAGTAGTCCCAGCCATTCAATCAGACTAACAAAAAAAATGTAAACCTAGCAATAATTTAAATCAAACAGCAGCAGTTATTAAGCCAATATGTAATTTAGACTCAAGCACACATTGTGTAAATAAAGTCCTGCATTTCCAGATGAAGCAATTACTGAGCTTCTCCCATCTCAGCAGTAACAGTTTAATGTGTTAGTGGCCTTTTATTGCTTTCAGATGGAGGCCTAGTTTAGAATGTATTAACATCCTTTTTTTTGGCTGATCCAATCGCAAGTGGTCAGCGCTAAATACGAAAAGAGGCTCAAAGCATTTTGCAACTGGATTACTCCAACCACTTTTGTTGAAAGTCAGAAACGACCACATTACATAAAGCATATAAAGTACTCTTAGCTGGTTCCATGCTTAAAATAACCATACAAACGTGAAGATTTGGAAAAGTCTAAACATATACATGGACAAAACGGTTTCAGTTCACATGATGCTTGACTATTAGTTTATGGTTAGATTAAAATTTGTGTAGACATTCTGCATTATGTTAGACCCATTCTTCAAAATCTGATCACAGGTGATGCATGAGATATATTTATACCATGTTTAAATAGCGCTCTGAGACAGATCTTAATACCAGGTATGAAGAGAACCCCTGAAGCAGCTTTCATCCAAAATCTTCCAAAACTGATCACTGTATTCTGAACAACACTATGGATGTGTGTGCTACTATAAAGTTCTTGAAAATGCCATATAGGTAGACAGCTCACTAAGTTTTAAAACACAGCCTGTTTTTTTAATACGCCAGGTAGATGCATCCTCCACCAAAAGTTTCTCTTCAAAAAGACATCACTCGAAGTGTTTATTGTTCTCGTACACTGTACAAAACTCAGCACCGATTGCAGGAGACGAGATAACAACCCCCCACTGCGATAAAAAGCTCACAGAAATCTGATTTCAGCTGAACACAAGCGACACACAGCACAGCCCTGAAACCTCACTGCCAGTCGTAATTATTCATTACCGTCAGATTTACAGACAGCGTCAGACACGCGAGTGTTTCTGGAGCACAGAAGACTTGGAGAATGAAGGCAGCGTGTGGTGTAGTCGCTCCAGGTGTTCGGCGTAGTTTGTCTGACATTTAAGTTTTTTTTGTTGTTTTTGTCTACAAACTAAACACACTAAAGAAATCAACGCACAGCAGAGAAGTGTCATTTTCAGAATGCCAGCACACTGACTGATGTAACTACATATTTCTATTATAAATGTTCACACTTTAAACACTCTAGGGGTCATTTTTTACAGTATCTTCATAGTTTGGTTTGGAATTTGTACTGAACAGAATAAAGGAACTGAGTTGAGTGAACTGAATTTTTATTTTAATATATAGGAGGAATGCAAGTTTATTATATGAAGACATGCAAATGGAAATATCAAATCCATATGAATGGGAAGTGCATGCCCATGAGTCTCAGGTGACTGTGAAAGGAAAGAAAGGGGAAATCCAGAGATGTCCCTTCAGTTCAATGAGATCAGGTGTTTATAATGATTGATCTCTGAGTCATTTCCCAGATAAACAAGGAAAGGACACATTTCAGCTCAGAGTCCTTGAATGAATGTCAGTCTAAGCACCATCTACACAGATGCCAGAACTAATTTTAACACACAGCGTTCTGTTAAACAATAAGGATGGGCCAGTTGCTCAGATGTTATTATTTTTAATTAAAAATGAATTTATATATATATATTTTTTTTTTTTATCATGTTTACCAACACTAATAAGTCACATAAAACCAAGACATGTACAAGATCAACATATCATAAGATTTACAATGCAGTTCTGGCCCTAAAGTGCCGATTTCCTTCACGCTGGCCCTAGGCCATACATATTGTTAAGCCTGATATGCAAGTTCGTAAAACTCTGTCCACTCAATCCGACAAAAAAAACCTAACTTTTTAATAAAGAGGCAGGAAATAAACAGAGATGAGAAAGGAAATGAAAAACTCTGTGGGAAAGAACTTCATCTGAATGACATCTGTTTCAGTGCACACACTCTATTCTCACAGTTACAGAAACCGAACGTTATGAAGTGATACATACCGTCTTGGAGTCTAATTCGTGGTGTGGTTGCGCTAAGACTTTATCTACACTGGAAACATCTGCAAACGTGATGAAGCCAAACCCTCTGTGGAACAAAAACACAAAACACAGTGAAGGTCAGGAGATAACTCCACAGAAGAGGCAGAAAAATTGTGACAGCATACAAAGCGCTCTTGTATTTGCTGATACACACAGTGAAGGCAGGGGTGTTGCAATCATTATGACACTTCTAGAAATGTCCACTTGCTGTGAGATAATCACAACTTCTCAGTGCTTTAGTGTTTCACTGCTACACTTTTCAAATTATTCTTATGCCCTTTAATAAAGTATAGATATATAATATAAATGCATTGTACAAACACATTAACCACATAAAGTGCACAGATACAAAATATAATAAACACTGTCCGGAAATATTGGCAGGTCTGGTCAGTCATTTATAGCACATCAAATATTTATACAATTTATCAAATATTTATATAAGGGCAAGTGACCCTTTAAGCCCACCAAAACCTAAATTTAAAGATCATTACTATAAATTATGAAGAAAATTAAATATTCTATCATAATTTAAGTATTCGTCATGAACTGACAAAATTAAGTTTAAAAAAATTTCAGCACCCACTGAACCATAACAACCCTCTACATTCCGAGTAAATCACTCGCATATGCGACTAAATCTTCACTCTGGGCGACTAAATTATGTCTAATATTAGCCAATTGCTAATAAATTCTGCGATCTGTGCTGTTTTTCAGTTCATCTGAATGGATGTGTAACGCACCTGTATTTAACGTACCGTAAACTCTAGTGTGAAGGCGCACAACTCGCCGTCGCTTTGTTTCACACACACGCAGCGAGATGTTCACAGAGGGCTGCATAAGATACTTCTTTGCTAAACCAGACTCTCATTTTAGGGCCTATAGAGACCCTCATGTCTTTTTTTCTCAATGCAAGTGGGTAAAGTTCATGAACAGTGTTTTGAGCACAATTAATTCCGTTAATGTTTTTATATGAGATTCAATGGATTCTTAGCCCAGTTTAGAAGGAACAATAGAATCAAATGGCAGCCTTCCTTAGAAACTCACATTCACAAAAATAAAAAAAGTTATATTTATGGATTATACATTCCCAGAGCATTCATTTTTTCCCCCATTTAATATAGTTACAAACACTGTTTTTATTCGTTTTTGTTGTTCTACTACTCTTTGAAACGCCACTCCAGTGCTACAAATACTTCATCCTTCCAAATACAGAATATTGCTAAAAAAGAAAAAATATAAAAATAAATAAATTAAATTTATTAATCTCAAAATGAAAATTTTTCTCAATACTTTCATCAACAATTTCCCCCCCAAAAAAGGTTTTTAATGCGACTTCTACAGTGTCAGATAGTAACAACATATCCTAAATAAGTCAAGGACTGACCATTCAATTGGCTGAATTTGCCACAAAACATAATTTCTCTCATGCTTTGTCTTTACATATTACAAAATATAACAAGTGGGCTTATTACGGTTTGTGGCCATATTAGGGTCGCCTCCCCTTATATAGGTAACTGTCAATTATGTAGAAAAGGCAGAGACTGAGATACCTATCTATGATATAGTGTGTGTGTGTGTGTGTGTGTGTGTGTATATATAAGCAAAAACACTTTGTCCTTTGTAATATAATTTAGATTTCTTGCAGTACAGTCCAGTCCTCCTAACTCAATGTCAAAGAATCAGCTTCCTATCGTGTTACTCTTGATTTGCCCTAAAGGCAATTTTATACAGCAGAATACAGACAGAACATAGAGAGAGCACGTGTTTACCTGGAGCGTTTGGTTGTGGGGTCGCGCATCACCATACATTCTCTGATCTCCCCGAATTTACTGAAATAGTCTCGAAGGCTGTCTGAACACAAACACAAGGACACAAGAGGGTTACGCCGTTACAAGTGAACGACGCGCAGCCTGCACACTGCCGTTATAATCAACGAAGGTCGCGCGCATCACACTTCGTTGATTATAATGAGAGCGTTCAAGTTTTGTCGCGTCGCCTCGCTTTTAGTGTCAGATGACTGGAAATCACAATAACCATGTGCGCAATGACACACATACAAACACCACAGCTCTTGAAACATGCCATGGATAAATATAAAGCAAAACAACTCCAAAACAGAAGAAATTCGCCTTACCTGGTGAGGTTTGCCAGCTGAGGCCACCGATAAACATTTTACTGTAAGGAGAAAACATGGTATAAGTGACTCCAGATGTCAAAACGGCCATTTCCGTGTAAATACCTCATAAAGAGCGACCTACGCACAGCTTGAGCTGTGAACCGGCTAAAACGAGCCGTTAGACATGACCTGTCAATCAAAACATCAGCAGAACTGCGCGAGGAAGGACACGCGCTCGTTCGCTCGCGCTGTAAAGCAGAATCAAACTCCAAACACACAGACTCGTCCTGTCTTCTTACCCCGGGTCGTGCTGCGAATCATTCGGACTTCCAGAGGTGACTTGACTCGCGTCCGCTTCCATAGCTCAAAGTCCAACCAACTCCAAACACACGCATACACACGGACACTGCAGCCCCAGCTCAACGAATATTACCGAACCGGGAGCGTTAGCGTCACACGTGGGATCTGCGCGCGGCTCCCGCCCCTCTCGGGAGAGGCGTGGCTGAAAGCGTCAGCCAACCAATCCGGCGGGGATCTGCGCCTACCTATCAAGGGAACGCTGCTAACCACGCCCTCTGTTGGTTAGCAGCGTTTGACAGCAACCACGAGAGTACATTCAGTTCTTCAGTAAGCTCTTTAAACCCTATAAAGTTTACATTTGCGCCACCTTCTGAATAAATACAACCAAGAGGCATTTTGAAAATAGAAAATTAATGTTTAAACTCAAATTAAGCACTGTAATTCAAAACACTAGAATAAAATCTAGTTTTTCTTTGAGGCACAAGCATATTCTGTCATGTGGGTGATTGTAGTTTGACTTCTTATTAGTGGCAATGTCATAAATTCCCACAAAATCAGTAATTAGTGAATGTAAGATATAAGAGAATAGTAAGATATATTTGTATATATACTTGTATATAAATTTGTTTGGATTTCAATTGTTTGTATTAAAAGGTGGAAAGTCCTTGCATTCTTTTGGCACCTAAAACTTTTATTACCTACTTGAAATAAAATAAACATAACTTAAAATTATTTTACTTCAGCAAGTTGCCAGAACAACTGCACCAAAATAACAAAAACTAAATTAACTAAAACAAAAACCTAAAAGCTAATAAAAAACATATAGAAAAATAAACAACAAAATGGCTAAAACTTTAACTCAAATTAAAATGAAAACAGAATAAAATCTAATTCAAGATATTAACAGAACATGTAATAGTATATCAATGATACTAAAACAACACTGGAGTTTACTATATGAAACATGCTTGTTTTTCTTACATGGTGTGGACTTTCCAATTATTTCTACTGTTTTATACTAACTTGATAATATTGTTTATCCATAAACATAAGACATCTTTTGATAGCCTATGTATGTTAATTTTCTGGAAGGGTGCTGAAAAACTTGACACCCCCACACATGCAGGCAATGTGTTTCTGAGCCTTTCTCCCCTTTGCTGAGTGAGCGTGCAGAATGGATAGATCAGTGTTAGTGTGACATCTGCTGTCTTCATTGATATGGAAATGCTCAAATAGGAAGTTTATCAAATGACTGCAGCTCTAGTTTCACAGAACCAGATCACTGTGGAAAACAAGCACTGCTTCCCACTGCCAAATGAGAAGTCTTTAACCAGCCAATAATATCTTTCCTCACTAGTAAACACATAGATCATACTGCTAATGTTCTAATAAACTTTCTCAAACCCATAGCAGTCCAGAAACGCAGTCTGAAATTGATGTTCCGACTCTGATATTTGGTATTAAAATGACTTCTGCTGGTAAAGGGTACATCATGGAGAGTTTTAGAAGTAGTAAGAGTGTTTGTTTCCCGTATCAAGAAAAGTAAGCTGCATCATGTTATATGAGCCCAATCTGTGAGGGAGACCCAGCAGTCACAGCGGCATCTGTGTTTGATTAATGAGTGAATCTTCTGCTTACTGAAAGTCTAATTTTTTAATGCTGTGCATCTGTTAGCTGCCTAACAGATCAATGTTCCTCTTTAGGATAATACACATTCATCAGGCCACTCTGGAAACGGAGAGGATTTTCTTCTTAGGGAAGGGTTAGGAATAGAAATCTCAAAGTTAAGACTGGAGAATGTGAGAGTACACATACAACAGAATCTGCCGTGACATTCAGCTTCCTCAGAGCAAACCAATCAGACCCCCTGCAGCAGGCAGATACGAGAGCAAGGCCAAATACAGGGAGCTTTCTGCATGTTTATTGAAGAATGTCAGCAGGCGCTTTAAATATTCAGTCCATTTCGGCACACTTTTCCATGATATTTCAAGCGAATCATTGCAATAGAAATCACCTTTTCTCTACAAAGTGCCTTGCCGTGTAATCTTTCACATGGGTAAGTCAACTGGATGTGTTTCCCTGTTGATTGCCACTAATAACTCTACAAGGCAGGTTTTCCAGGGCAGTTTTCTGCTTTTTTTGGTTTGATTGCCCATATTAGAGTAATCACCATCAATAAAATATATAAATATATAATGTTAATGTATCTATGAATAACTTCACCTCTAAAAATGAACACTATTTTAAACACCTAGTAACCAGCCATTCAAAGCTTTACACTGAGTGACATCTGTTGGCCAGAAATAGCAGGTGCATGTAATTTTTTCAAATCTGTCAGGAAGTATGAACTTTATAAACTCTTTTTTCCTATTAGGAAGATATTGTGACATACTAAATAAATCAGACATGGGCTAAAACAACAGACATTATTTGCTATGGAGGTTGGTACTCGTTAAAATAGGCTATAAACCATGCATTAAATGTTAAAATGGAGCCAAATACGGAGCAGCTTTGAGCTTTTGTCTTGTTAAATATATACTTGAACTATATCTGTCATGCAGGTTTTTCAGGACAGTATAAAAAGTCATCATAAGCACATGAGACAGAAAAGCACACCATGTTTGTGATTTCCACAGATCTTTTACTTCAACAACAGCAGTGAGATGTTTGGCAGCGTCAGCATGAGAGTACAGAACACTGAACCATACAAGTTCATTTCAGCAGGGGATCATAATGCTCTTCACTGCTGGAGTTCTTTCATGCTTTACAGTCAGAGAGCACAACACTGTCCCCACCCTTATCTTGAAGAAAAGAAACAAAATACAAAGACCCAGAGAAGAACAAATACATCTAAACAGAAAACAAAAATTACTACAAAAAAATCTATATACTTCAATATCAAAATACCTGAGCACAACACAATCTTTCAAACCATCAGCATTCAAGAGATAATCTTAGAGAACAGTACAATATTAGCAGCTGTTCACATAAGCAGCTTTGGTTTACTCTGCAATGCATTCTGGAGCAATAACTTAATTCAATTATCATTTAAATAACATCAAATAGCATAGTATTAACCATTTAAAGAGAATTCTTCAAAAATTAGGTCTCTAACAAAATCTTCAAACAACAAACAAATAGACAAAAAGTGGAATACATGATTTACTGTGCAAAAGGGTGTTCAAGAGAGAATAAGTGAAAAGCTGTGCCATCACTGCGTCTCAAACCAGGTGCAAAACCCCTGTTCAGCCAGTAATCTGTTCACCAGAACCACCTGCAGACATATAAAGCACAAAAGTAACAGTTATAGCTGAAATTGAAAGATTTAGTAAATAAAAATTAGATGTACAAACCTCGTCTCCTGCCTGTTTCCACATGTGCACCAGAGGAAGGCCGTCTTGACTGCCTGTCACCTGATCATAAACAACATCCATTATGTCTGAATTGTTTTAGAACTTATGAAAATGTTCCTCAGAGCTGTTTTTGATCACCAAGTGCAGAACTGATGAAAAATTTGCCAGTTGATGAAAAGCTGATAATCATAAAATCAGAAATTGTAAAATTTAAATTACATTTAAAAATGTAACTAAAAAATAAAAAACAAACAAAAAAATTGTTTAGCTGCATGTCATTTGACTATAAACCGACTGTGAACATTCAAATGTATTGGTAAACAACATTTCAAGTAATTATTTTAAGTCAAATTGCTGACAAAAAAGTTTGAGAATCTCCAGCCTAGTGAAATCATTCAATACCATGGAAATAATATATAAATACACAAGAAAAAACTGAAAGACAAATGTGTTTGCTTGTTATAACCTTGATGATTAAGGCCATATTTGCAGTTAATTCCTCCAGCGCTGCTTTGGCCTCCAGGGAAAACTCCTCCTCTCCTATCAAAGCAAACAAATGGCTTTTCATTTTTAGCATATTTCAGTATTTATGATTTGATTTATTTGTCCGTTTTTTTTTTTTACAAAATAACACAGTACTGTTGTTAGTACACATCCATGAGCAGCAGCACATCTCAGAAAGCATTTTTAATCATAAACAGGCAAATTTTTTACCTGGCAAAGGAGTGATATTGTCCAGCAGAACCTCGGCTGCCTGGAATGGCAATGTTACAAAGTCTGACCTGTGAAAACAATCCTCAAATATCAGATTGAACTCATTCCAAAACAATTACAGACAAATAATCAAACCAAATGTAAGCCACTTGACCTGATCTGCCTGAGGGTGGCGCTGTTCACGGTGTCATAACCTCCATTATCTACATATCTGATATGAGCTGTGGCAGACTCTCTGTCATACTGGATGACCTGGGCTCTCTGCCAGCCACTTCCTGTTACCGGAGCTGCACAGACCACCCCCACTGACAGAGGCAGACAGAAAACAGACAGACTTCCTCAAACTAGATGACAACAAGAAATCCAAATTATTTTGAGAGATGACCACATTGCCTCCATGAAATCTAATTATAATTCGACTTGCCACAGTTTGAGCAATATTTCATAAAATTTAGGACATATACCAGGGGTGGCGAACGTCAGTCCTGGAGAGCTGCAGCCCTGCAGAGTTTTGCTTCAACCCTAATCAAACACACCTGAACAAGCTAATCAAGGTCTGAATGGTTACTAGGAAGCTACAGGCAGGTGAGCTTTAATTAGGGTTGGAGCTGTACTCTGCAGCTCTCCAGGACCGGAGTTCGCCACCACTGACATATACTATCAGAGATGATGTCTATCTGTGTGTGTGTATGTATGTACTGTACATATGTTCAATATTTTCAACATTGATAATAATAAGAAATATTTATTGAGAAACAAATCAGCATATTAGATCGATTTCTGAACCTCGTGAAGTTGGTTGCTACGTACTCAAATAAAATGTGTTATTTCATAGTGTTGTAACTTTACTAGTATTCTAAAATATGGGAAATGGTATTAATAAAGAAACTAAAAGAACTGTTTAAAGTCATGCCAATAAAGTTGTGCTGAATCTAAAAGAGATATTTTATGGAGGACAAAAGCAAAACCATAAAACGCTATGGTAGAGACAGATGTTGTGTTGTTCCTATTGAAAGCATTTGCTAAATTAATACATGTAAATGTGAATATAAATTATTTATTCTCCACATTGAGATCTGTGTGTTTCAGTAGGGGTCTATATACCTTCGACAGGGGTGGGCAGGCTGGGACATCCTGG